AGGGTTGGCAATTTCAGTCCCATCCTTCAACCTCTAGGGAGGGATGCTGGGAATAGACTTAATCACCAATAACCAGTGGTCTAATTAATTCTGCCTGAATAATGGAACCTCTGGAAAAACCCTGAAGGAAAGGGTTGGTGACACCAGGAGGGTAGCCATGGCAACTCCAAGGGGACAGAAGCTCTTGCACGCAGCGCCTTTCTGGACCTCACACTATGTAGCACTTCAGCTGGCTGTTCCTCTGTATCCTTTATTAATCAACCGTATAGGGGTAAGTAAAATGCTCCCCTGAGTTCTGTGAGCCATTAAAGCAAATGATCAAACCTGAATCAAAGGTCAGGGAACCTCTGGATATGGAGCCAAGTCGGGCAAAGTGTGGAGCCTCAGGACTTGTGACTGTTACCTACGGGGAGTGTGCCGCAGCCTGAGGCCTCTGGGCCCATTTTCTCACTCCTGGGAGTCAGGGTCAGAACTGACTTCAACTGCAGCACACCCTGTTAGGGTCCACAGAGAAACTGCTTGGTGTGGAAAACGCACAAACTGGTGTCAGAAGTGTTGAGTGCAGAAGACAATTTTCCTTCAAAGGCCTCTGGATCACTTAAGCTTCCTCCTAAGGAGGCAGCCCTCTGAGCCTACGTTTAACATGCCAGAAGCCTCACTGAGGTTAGCAGAAACAAAAGCGTCCATAGGGTAGTATGACAAATGACGTGAGAGTCAAAGGCTCTTCTCAACCCATTTCCTACTAACTCCCTTTCCCATAGGAGCGGCCATGAGACACTGTTGTAGCTCAGGAGACAGAGATGGCTCTCTGCAGTGAGGTTCCTTTGCTTTCCCCATCTGAGCATCACCTTGATCCTTTCCCCATTCTTCCTGCTGGGAATAATAATGTCATGCCCTGAGGTATGGCAGCTGTCTTGAAATTGTGAGGAAATCATCAAAAGAACACCAGAGACTTCAGACCTAACATCGTAGAGCCTCTGAGTCAGCTCCAGGAGCAGTTGCCCTCCTCTAGGCTCCTAAGTGAGGGAAATACATCTTCCATACTTAAGCCTCGGTTATTTGCAGCCCATAACACTGCTGACGAATACATTCAGTCACCCACACAGCAGGAGCTGGAAATGGTCACTTCCAAAGTGGCTCCTGGATGAATGGACTCAGCTCCTGACTTTCACATGTGGTTTCCAGGCCAGACACTAGGTCTCACAGGCTGGCCAGTGAGACCCTCATGTGCTGAATGGTCTGGGCTTCTCCAGACCCTCACCATGGGCCTGAGGGAACAGATGCAGAGAGTGCACAGTGGAGAGAGGTGAGCAAAGGCCTGACATGCTGCTGCTGGGCCAACTCACAGTACGGACAAGTCACCTGGGACCTGCCTGCCACTGTGAAAGCTGAGGAGCCAGAGCGAACTCCGGGACTCTATGCCAGACTCACTGCCACCCTCCAGCGAGGTTGGCAGCGCAAAGACTGAAGCCAGCAAAACCCAGGGAGGTCTCCTTGGCAGAGGTACACAGAGGGCCAGCCTCTACCCAGCTGGTACTCAGGATGCTACGACCGAGGTACTCTCCATTCCATGAGCCACTTCTTTTCCCTGTGCAGAGCCCCCTGGGGGATGCTGGAGGCTTGCTGTGGGTTAGCTTCTTCTCCTCCAATTTCTCAGAGGTGCACAAGGCACAGCAGCTACCACACGGGGTCCTCACACATGTCCTCTCCTGTCACAGCCTCTGCCCCACAGACTGCTCTTGAGATAACTATCTCTGCAGACACAGAATGTAGGGTGGAAGCTGGATTAGCCAAGGGCTGGTGGCCCAGGGTATTGAGGGCAAGGACCATGTCTCATCTGGCTGAGCATCTTTGATACCTGGGATGTGTTTGGTGGCAAAAGATGCACTGCTTATGGAGTGACCCAGGATCCTGTGATCTACTTTCACAGCAGTGCCCTGTTTAACAACTGAGTCACTTCACGAAGACTCTAGTTCTTCACTTTCTTTTGTTGAACTTCATGAAGGAAGGCAGAGCACGGCAAACATCCTCAAAATGTTCTTTTTATCTCCAATTGTTCCCTGCTCCAACGCGGTGCCTCATTTTCTCAGGCTTGGGTCCCTGGAGGACAGGAGGAGGAGACGGTGGGGTCTGCATTTGCCCCTTACATTGACTGCTGTCTGAGTTCCCATGGATGCTTCTGCTCTGTGCCCTGCTGCCTTTCTAAAGGGCAGAGTGGGAAAAACAAGGTGTCAAAAAAAGAGCCCCCCCCCTTAGTGTGAGAAAATGGTGCAGCTGCCCACACCCCGCCCCACTGATGACACTGGACGAAGGTAAGAAGAGAAAGGGAGGAAAGCGTCCTCCTAGGACCACACTTGTGTCCTGGAGAGGGTGCCCTCCCTGCTCTGTGTCTCAGGGTCCCTGTCCTCAGAGTCAGGTGGTCAGCCTGCATCAGGTATAAAAACCTTCCGATTTTGCAGTGAGATTTTGCATGGAGAGCTCCTCCTCTAACTGGGTCATTTGTCTTTTCAGCCTTTCTGAGGAGTCCCCTGGCCAGGGCAGCCTTGTCTGTGAGAGGGACAGAGCCTGATCATGGACACCGCAAGTTTAGCCCAAGGCTGCATTGAGACATGAGCAGGATGTCCATTGTGCCCTGCCCAGTGCCTGGGGCCTGATTACCCAGGTGCAAAGGTTCTCTGCCTCCTTCTGGGCACTTCCTTGTTTGCTGGCATGCAAAAGAGGCGATGAGGGAAAGAAGGTCTCCTGCCCACCTTCTCAGCCAGCCATAGGATTAGGGCAAGTTCGGAAAGGTGAGGGAGAGTCTGGAGCTGGCTCTCGTGTTTGGGTGTAGATCCAAGCCCCGGCCCTCCACTTTCTGTGTGGCTCGGGCCAAGTGTTTGAACTCCTCTGGGCCTCAGCCCTCTGCTGGTCCTGAAGCTGTGCCTGTTTCGGAATTGCTGAGGAACACAGCAAGAGGAGCCCGTAGTGCAGCACGGGCATAGTGAGACTCTCTCCCAGGACGCAGGATCCTCAGCAAGGCCAGTCTCCCTGCTTTCCTGAGGTCTGGGCTCTGCACTCCCTCAGCTCCAGGAGAGGAGGGAGAAAACGCTGTGCCTGCTGCAGCAACTACTGTTAGGAAGTGGGGACTTGATACCCAGAGGGTGGGCCCCCAGTGGACAAGCCCTAGAGAGGAAATCTCTTATAACACAAATCCCACTCTTTTAAGGGCTCCACCACAAAACTTCTAATTCCTGAAAGAGAAAAGACCTGTGAAATGCATTTCAGAAAAGCCGCAGGATAATCTACAGAGGCCTTGTTTAAATAATCAGCTTTTCTTAATTATGCCATCTAAGGCAACTGATCAAAATTCCCTGTAGGCAATTTAGGAGGAAAGCCACAGGCAGGAAGAGGAAACTCAGGAGGGCCTGGAACCTCAGTTGTTTTCCCTGTGACAGCTTGGAGTGAGGCCTCTGAGTGACCCCTACCCAGGCACCCTCCTGCCCTCCGTCCTTCCCCTCCTGCAATAGACAGCTTTTTGTCACTGTGGTAAATGACCTAAGAAAATCATCTTCAAAGAGCACAGGTTTATTTTGGCTCACAGTTTCAGAGGTTTCGGCCTTGCTCATCACCTGGCCCCATTGTTTCTGGGTGGTGCTGACGCAGAAACATCATGGTGGAAGGATAAAGCTAAACTGCTTAGCTCCTGGCAGCCAGGAAACACAGAAAAAGGGAAAGAGCAAGAGTGATAGAGAGGGGAAGGGCACAGGGAAAGGCTATACCCCTCTAGGACATACTGCGAGAGGTATCTACCGTTCCCACCACCTCCCGATAGTCCACTCAATTATGAACCCAAAAATAATATTCAAATCATCTCTTTGAGTTTCTGCTCTATTATCTTCTCATACCTCCACTTCCTCCCACTCACTCACCTGCCCACATTCTGCTCTTTCCCCTCCAGCCAGGGAAGTGGGACACACTTGTGAGCCCATCACAGAGCTTTGGGGAGAGCTTTCCCTGAGCATGGCGCCCTCATCCTGTCTCTGCCCACACTCCATGATTCCACTAGGTGCACCTCTTAGAACTCCCTTGTTGTGTACTTTCATTTTCAGTGGCCTCTACCAACCTCTCTTTCTGCCACTGAATTGCCAGTTCCACCAGGACAGGGATGTGTAGCTAAGCCTCAGCATTGTTCCTTGATGTATAATATATACTGAAAAACAAGTGTTTTAAGGGAAGTAATAGCAGGTATACTCTTTGAATTGGAGGAGATCAGTTGAGAGTACCAGGTCACAGAGGTGGGTGAAACAGAGAGCTGCAGACCTGAAGAGGGGCCAGAGGAGCGTGAAGCATCCCCACTGTGGTTTGACTCATCCTAGGAGACACCTCTGTTTTGGAGTAAATCTGCCTGGCAACAGCAGCACACCTGACATTCCATACAACACATAGTGCTGGCAGGTGGTGAATGTTTTGTAAATGCTTTTCCTGGAAATGGACTTGTGTTGTATGAATAAGCATACAATACACAGTTACATATGACAACGGAGCAGGTGCATGGCCTAATGGTGTGGCCCACCTGGCAGCCTTGGGATCAGCAATGCTCATGTATTGTCCTTTCTTGGCACAGGCTCAGGGTGACAGGGGTTGTGTATGTCAGAGTCACATTTCCCCCAGGTGCCTGGCTCTGCCTTTCTCAGCTGTGTGGCCTTAATTGGCTCACATCCTTCACCTGAGAAGCAGAAAGAAATAGCACTTATGATAAGGGTTTATGATGAGCATGATGAGAAATAATGCAGGTAAACAGGTCAGCACTCAGGACAGAAAGACCTAGAAAGCATGAGATGCCAGCTGTGGTCATGCCCCTACTGTCTCTGTGACAGAGCATTTGCAGCATCCTCTCTTTGGTGACAGTATAGATACTGCACAGGATATGGAAAACACAGGCCTGGTGGCTTTGTGGGGGTTGGGGGTGGAGTACAGATTAGGAATAGATGGTCCCAGAAGGAGAGATTGACAAAGCTGAATGGAAGTTAAACTTTAATTTGAGATACATAGCATTTGGGGGGTATATGTAAGTCCCACACAATATTTGGGGCACATATAGTTATAATTTTAAAGTTATTTATTGTAATGCCAGTCTATTTGCTCTGGCAGCCTTCCTGGGGTTCTCAGGGAAGGGCCTTCTGACCTGGTTGTCCATAGCCTTCCCAGATGGACAAACTGGACAGAAGCCAGGATAGAAGAGCAGTGACCTCTCTTGAAGCTTTTAAATCTACTTCCAAAGTCCCTCGCCTTGCTAGGGCTTCTCACAGTGTGCACAGTGCCTGGTACTCTGTGGCCTAAGAAGTTGACCTGTTGGAAGAAGGAAAAAAGGATGGAAGGAAGGAAGAAAAGAAGGAAGGAAGGAAGGAACAAGGAAGGCAGGCAAGACTGTCACAGAACCACTCCTCTGAGCTCAGACATTTCTCCCCAGGAGTCTCCTTTAAAGGGGAGGCAGCCCTGAGAAGGGCCACACTAAGATACTACAAGTTGCCCACAGATTTTGGGCTCTGTAAGTCACACAAGTGTGCTGGGTGGGAGGCAGGGTGGTCCTCAGGATGTGGGGTCAGGATGCGGGGTCAGGATGCCTGGATTAGGATCCCAGCTCCACTCTCTGAAGTGGGCCTTGAACACCCCTGTGTTTTCCTATCTTCAGTTTCACTGTGACCACCTCAGACCGAGAGCTCTGGGAGACTGCTTAATGCCAGGAGGGCGCCTAGAGCCAGGGGGGTTTCCCTGGGATGGAATGGGGCAGAGTAAAGGTTGGAAACAACTTAGCAACAGCAAATTGGGAAGGTAGCAAGGACTCACAGATGGGTTACTTCCAGAAGTTTCCTGGGCCTTAAGAGTGGTGTGGAGTTGGATGGACAATGAAAGCAGGACAGTGGGTGTCTCGAGAGAAAGCAGAGTAGACAATTCACAGCAGTGTTCATCGATTGCCCTGGCACTGTCCTGCCTCCTTGCAGGTGTTAATTCATGGATCCTCTGCGGCTGTTTCTGTCTTCCCCGTGAGAAAGCCAAGGCCAGACACTAATTCAGAAGGTCTTCTTCCAAGGCTTGGCTTGTACAAGGCCTGGGGGAGAGGGTCCGGTGATTAATTCCCCTTAGGCTGGATTAGGAGACAGCGATTCGAATTTGAGTCAATTCCAGAACTGGGGTGGGGATGTACTTAGTTTTTCACCAGGGATCCAAACTCTCTGTACAGTCATTATGGATATCTGTCCTTTGGAAAGGTGTCCTTTGCCCCCGCCTGACGGCTCTGGCCACAGGGGAGGTAGAGGCACACTCAGGCCTCAGCCTTCCCCCTCCGCAGCGGCGCAGCTGGAGGGACTTCTGCCCGATTTAGCTCATCAGCGCTGCCCTGGGGGGAGGACGTGGCAGGGGATTTATGCGTAAGCACCCACACCGCAGCGAGCAGAACTGTCAGCTCCTCCAGCTGTCCTGGCTTCACCGAAAAGCTGGAGTGCAGCGGCTCCGAAGGCCCCTGGGGGCGCTGTGAGCCCGCGGTTCTCCAGGCTGGGCGCCTCGAATCCGCGCGGCTTCTGACGCTGCAGCAGGAGGCGCCAGTCGCGGTCTCGGGCAGCAGCGCTTCTGTCGGCGACTCAGGCCGGTTAGGTCTGGGGAGCGCTCACCCAGGCCGGCCACCCTCCTGGCTCCGGTTCTTCCTACAGGCTGGGACTGCGGGCCGGCGGCTTCCACACTGCTTCCTCCCACGCGTGCGAGGACAGCCAGATGCTCTGAGTGCTGCAGAGTTTTCCCTTCCTGAGCCCGCCTCCCATTGCCATCCTCGACCCGGTGGGGCCTTGCCACCAGCCATCTCTCCCAGCACCCCTCCCTGCCAAGACCACCTCTCTCTGCTGCTTCTGCATGCAGATATAAACCGCGGAGTGCCCTCTGCACCCGTGCACCTGGTCACATCTGTTCACACCCCCGGAGAATAGAATTCTGAGCCAGTTCCTCCGAGAGCTCTGCTGACGACAAGAGGCCAGAGCCCACCCTCTGGCTAGGAAGGCACTGCCTTTCCAGAAAGCTATGTTGATCTAAAAGCCCTTAACTTTTTTTTTTTTTTTTTTTTTGTCTTTTTCCTTTTTATCGGTACCAGGGATCGAACTCACAACTGCCTGCTTGCAAGGCAGGCGCTTATGCCGCTGAGCTAAATCCCCAGCCCCTGAAAGTCCTTAACTTTAACAGAAGAGTAAAGCATATAATAGTGCTCTCCTCGCAGCTTAATTCCACAATGGCTCTACTTTAAAATAGAGACCTTCAGACAGTTATTTTACTGCTTTGTATTGCACCATTGTTATAAAACCTTTCTCTCCACGTCTCTGCATAGTCTTTCTCATTGAACTGTGGTGCTGCACAGCACAGCACCCTTGGCCCAAGTTCGAACGCCATCTTTCAGTCACATGCTTCCGGCTCCTGATGTCTCTACTCTTCTGCCCAGCTCACCCTCCCTGTGCCTAGCATGTGCTCATTCTCTTGTTTGTCCCTTGTTCCCCTGCCCTGACCACAATGCATCCCTACCACTAGGGGCATAATGTTATGGCTTGTGTCTAGATGTACCCCCAAGCCTCATGTGGTCATAGATGGAGGGGCCTGGATCTAGAGTATGTGATTGATTCATGGCGCAGTGCTAGAATTAAGAGGGCTAGGACAAAGGGTGGGTGATTATTAAATCCGTCCACTGATTGGTTTGGCACTGCCCTAATTCTGGTAGCCTCAATACAATAAAAGGGCTGGTAGCCTCAATACAATACAATGAAAATACAATACTAAGATGCCTTGTTTTGCTACCTTCTGCCTGCCATGAACTGCTTCCCTTCTGCGATGCCTGTCTGTCTTGCCACCCTGCCTTGGTGCCAGTTAGGTATGGTTTCAGTCCAAACCGTGGGCCAAATAAAACTTTTCTCCTTTAATTTTGAGTGTTGGGTACTTTGTTTCAGCAACAAGAGAAAAGTAAGACAGACACTATCTTGTAAGCACTGCTGTTTTAGATGCTGGTTATTAGGTCACCCTTTGCTAGTACCATCATCTTTTATGGAGCTAGGCTACTGTGAGCCAGCCCTGCGTTGGTCATCTGACATACTTTGTCCCTGGAAATGCTGAAGGCCACTGTATTAGTCAGGGTTTTACTAGAGAGAACAGATATAACACAAAATATACTGAAATAACAAGATTGGTCAGCCACAGAGTCGGATGAGGAAGCCTGCAGAGGGTGTCTACACACTGGAAGCCAAAGGATTCAATCCAAGGTCTGGGGTTCACCCTAGTGTCTTATGCAAGTCCACACCAGCAGGCTGATGGGTCTGTGACAGAAGGCCGAAGGCTCTATGATGAAAGGCTGAAGAATCTGTGCCGCAAAGCTGGAGTCTACACTGGAAGCCAGGAGATGAGGTCCAAACCAAAGGCGAAGACTGGAGTGTCTCCCAAGAGTGGAATGCATTTGTCCTTTCTCCTTCCCTTTTATGCCTCCAGGTGATGACCACCCTAGGGTGGGTCTTCTACACCCTGGAGGTTGCTAAATTCATTTAGTTAAGTTTCTAAATGTCTCAAGTTGACACAGTCAGTCAACTACTACAGCCACTGTTTCAGATATCCATATGCAGCTCCATGCCACAGATGAGAAAACTAAGGATCAGAAAGGTTAAGCACATCATCCAAGATGGCACAACAGTTCCAGTAGAGAGAGTAAGGAGTTAGGCCCAGGACTATGTAACTATGAATCTATGCTTATGGTACTACCCACTTTCAGGAAATGTGTTTGGCTCACATGTATCTGAGCCCTTATGAAATGAGCCTCACTATAATTGCATTGCAGCAAATCTCGCAGAATTTTGTCTCCAGTCCAAGTCTGGAGACATGCTTTTCTTTCTTGTGACCAATAAGAGACACTTTCCGAACCCACTGTGCAGATTTTGACATACAAACAAAAGACACCACTCAGTCAGAAGGGGTGGGAGAGCAGCATGCAGCCCCCCTGGGTATGGTGGCCGGGAGAGGTCAAGTGACAGTGCAGGAAGATGTCCTTGGCATTCAGGCCCAATCCGCAGTTCTGCTTCCAGGACCATGGTGGAACCATCTCTCCTCTGCCCCTTCTCCTGCCAGCTTTCAAGCCCCCTGTATGCAGCCCAGTGCTGCCTTCCTGGTCATCTGGCTCACCTGTCTCTTCCCAGCCTCTGATCATTCCGGCCTGAGGTAATCACATGCTCCTCTGAACTCCTCTGCAATTACAATTTCAATAATTCATTTGGCAATTAATCATATCCTGCCTTGTGACATCCCTTCTATTCCATGTTGAGCTGTTATTTAGAGGTGCAATTGTTTAACTTCCCATGAGCAGCATATGCTGCCTTGCTAATCTAGTTGGGCTTTTGTCATTTATTTGCTGGCAGTCAATCAAGCAGGAGGAGTAGTTTGGGGCCCGTAGAGGGCAGGGGTGGGCGCTGGAGTGGGCAGGATGCTCAGCCTGAGTCTGAAGGAGCCAGAGCTTCTTAGGCAGCTGGACAGCTGTTCACCTGCCTCAGCCTCCTTCCTCCTTGTTCCCTGGTTATGAAACAGCTCTGGACACAAACTATCTCAGGAATTTTCCATGCATTTGTACAGTCTCTTGATTGGGTGCCATTTCCTGTGGCAAGAGCCGTTCATTCTATTTTCACCAAAGCTGCCTATCAGGATGTGGTGAGGCCCGTCTGGAGTGTCAGTTCTGCCACTTATTAGCTGTGAGCTGTGAGTCTCTGCACCTCTCTTAGCCTCAGTTTCCTTCTCTCTAAAGGGGAGGGGAGTACCTGCCTCATAAAATTGTTATGAGAATCTTGAAATCAGCATTATGTTTGCATCATCTAGATGGGCTCGAAGTGCCTTGTAAAAAGAACCATTTTAATCTTCATATTTATTTTTAAGAAAAAGATTCTGTTATTATCATGTCCATTTTGCCCAGGGAATTTGGGGGAGGGGCAGAGGAAGTGGGCAGGAGCTTCCAGGGTGACACCAGACGTCCATCCAAGACTAGGTGAGGGGAGATTATTCTATGCTACCCTCCTGGGCAGGGTCACAGGTTTAAAAGGACAGCACGAAGGATGGCCTCAACCTATAGGGAGAGAATAGTGAGAAGAAAGAAAGGAAGGATGTGGAACCAAAAATGGTACTGAGCTTCCCTGATTGGCCAACTACAGAGTCCCAAGCACTGGGCCATAGAGACAAAGAAAATGCAGCTTGTGTTCTGAGGCTCACAGTCAAGTGGGCCTCTTAATGAGCATCTGTAAGAAACCCAAGAAAACAACGCCATCTCCCTGGAGGACTGCAGTGATTCAGAAGGCTTTCATGTGAAGGCAGGGTCTGGAGAGAGCAGGCACGCCGCTTACTGGAGAGAAGGGAAGTGAGGTAGCCCTTGACCAGAGTCTTTTTGTTTCCTCTGACCCTCAGAAAATAATGACACTGAACGTTAACGGCTTTCATTCTGAATGAGGAAAATGGCTTAGACAGCTAAAGTAACTTCCTAAGGCTAAAGAGCTACTAACTCCCAGAAGCTGAGCTCTTTGCTTGGCTCTGCTACCTACCAGTTGTGTGAGGTAGGGCACTGGTTGACATTTTCAGAGCTTGACTCTACCCCCCTCAGAAGGACACTAAGAAGACTAGAGGTGTTGGTTGGAAAGCTCTATAAACAGAAACTTCTGCCGCCCAGCCCAGCTCATGGTAGGTGCTAACATGTGGGCACCTCCTACACATGTGTCCAGTGTTAGCCTCGCCTGCCTCCTTTTCCTGGATGTCTTACATTTACTGCATCTACATCACCATTTCCCTGCCACTGATACAAAATAGCTGACATTCACAATGTAAAGAAAGAGAGATTTATTTCGGCTCACAGTTTCAGATGTTTTAGTCAATGGTGATACGGCTTCAAGGCAGAACATCGTGAGAGAAGAGTGTAGGGGACCAAACTACTAACTTCATGACAGTCAGGAAGCAGAGAGATTGGGAAAGAACCAGAGAAAGGGAGGAAGGTGCTGGAGACAGGATCCATCTTTCCAAGATGACATCCCTGCTTCCTCCCAGTGGGCCCCATCTCCTTCAACTATGAACTCATCAGTGGGCTAATCTGCTGATGAGGTTAGTGCACCGTGAAATCAGCTCCAAAAGCCTTGCCTCTGAGCACAGCAGCCTTTTAGGAGACATTTTGGCCCACAATATAACAGCATCCAAAATGCGCCTCCTGATGTTCTCGCCTCCAAACCTGCTCTATCTTCAATGTATGGAGGTAGAATCTATGGAAAAATACAGTTGACACTTTTTCTACCCCTCCCCCACCATATCCGAGCCAAGAGGATATCTTATTTTATTGCACTCTATCTTCAAAGTGCATCCAAATCCAACTGCCACTCACCATCCTTAGTTTCTGGGGGTAGCTTTTGACTGGTCTCCCTATTTCTAGCCTTATTTCTCTCTACACAGGACTCCCCTCAGCAGCCAAAGTGACTCTTTCTCAACATGCAGCAGAGCACAACCTCCTTAAACAGCTGTGTGGCTGCATCACACTCAGGAGAAGCCTCAGTCTCTGCTCTGCACCTGTCTGTCTCCCATCCCCTCTGCGACTCACCAGCCACCATGCACTCTCTTGCCCTCTGCCTCGGGCAGAGCCTGGTTGCTGCTGCTGCTCAGTATGACAGCCTGTTCCACCCCAGGCCTTTACACTTGCCAGGCACTCTCTTCACCTCCATTGCCACTAGCTGTAGTGCCATGGTGACCTGTTCTCCCAGCTGGCTTCATTTGTTTTCAGAGAGCTTAGCATCTGTGATATACTATATAACTTATTTATTCCTGCTCATGTGTCTCCCATTCCCCCATAATGTTTAAGAATTTTATCTATAAGTCTGATTTTCAGAACAATGTCTGGAGCATGGGAGGTGTTCAGAAAATGTTTCATGAATGGATGAATGAATGTGGAGGATTGGCTGGGCCACCCCCATGCTCAATCCTAGACTTGCTGGATTAGTAAACAGATGCGGTATCCGGGGAGCTGGTCGAGCAATGATGAAAACTCAGCATGCTATTGCTTATCCCCACAGCCAGCACCAACCCCTTGGAATCAGTGAGACAGAGCCTGCCTCTTGCTGGCTGTGAGAGCTCATGGCTTTGCCAGGTCTCCCTGAGACTGGGTGGAT